CCTGCATCGTGTAGTGACAATATATTTCTTATTTTAGCAATATTTCTGAGATGAAAGAAAGCGATCCTAGTTATATTATCTACATGAGCTTCAAAAGAAAGACTAGAGTCAATAATCACACCAAGGTCTTTTACTGCTGCACGTGATGAAACAGAAAGGCCATCCAGAGTTATTATGTAATCAGAAAGCTTACTTCTAACTGCATGTGGTCCTAGTACAAGTACTTCTGTCTTGTCAGAATTAAGTAAGAGAAAGTTAATAAACATCCAGTTTCTAATGTCTTTTACACATTACACTGTTTCTAATGTCTTTTACACATTCCTCAACTTTATTAAACAGAGTTACTTGGGCAAGAGACAAAGACATAAACCAGAAACCAGAATTGTAGTCATAACCATAAAGATGATAGCAATGAAACTGAAGGCTTGGTACCAACAGGTACGTGACACTGAGCATATACTTCGCAATGAGCTGTGGGAAAGTGAGTCCTTATACACTTCACAATAAGCTGTGGGAAAGTGAGTCCTTATATACTGATTTAATGTAATTGAGTCCAGGTGTGTGTAATCAGAATGATGGTGAATATAAAAGTGAGAGAGTTCGTGATGGACGGTTGTTGTAGTCCTTGACAGTCATGTTTGCAGGCCACATAGTATTCTGGGAGTTGTAGTTGGTGGCCATGTTTGTAGGCCGCACTGTTACATGATCTGGAAAGCAATGCCGTTTCCTCCGGTGACATAACCATATCCCTGAGGAATTCCAAGAGATCACTGTTATCTCCATGACAAATTAGTTTGTTTACTAGTTCATTTATCAATAACAATGTGATGGCAACCACAAAATCTTACACCTCTGGTGCTCTTTCTCATCCACAATGCAAAAAGCAACAAATAGAACAGTATACAAAGGCCACTGGACCTAGAATACACCCCTGAGGACCTCTGTGAGATCATCATCATCTCCATGACAAATTAGGTAATTTATTAGGTTTTTTATTTTAAATCTATAAAAATGTGAGAGCATTGACCCACAAAGTTTTTTTAGTACCATTGCCCCTTGACCTTTGCAATGCTAAAGCTTACAAGTACAACCTAGAATACAGTGGACCCATGGACCGAGAATACACCTCAGATCATTATTATCTCTATCACAAATTTATTTGTTCTGGGAAGTTGAGAGGTCCAGTAGTAGCAAACAGTGAATGATAACCACCCAGAAACTGCAGAGATAAGATTTAGCATAACTTGATCTCAGATTTCAGGCCACTTGGCATGTGACAGTCCTTAGGAGCATTCAGTTCCATTCAGACCCAAGAATGCTGAACATGATTTTATGCGAATTCAAAAAATAAGAGTGCTAAGAATGTGAAAGAGTTTGTAAAGACAAGCTTGCTCACATGTTTCTATTCAGCACCAAGGTTTCTTTAGCACTGAGTGTGTGTTCACTGCTGCAGTCAAGATAATTATTAACCTATGAGGTCAGACGTTGATACTTGAGATAGGAGAAGCTGTACAGAGGCTTGTTACCTTGTCTACAGCACAACAGGTTATAACAGCCGTTTCGCCTGAATACAAAGTAAAACATTGTCAAACGATTGCAAAAGACATGAACTGTGTGTGACAGTTCTGCTCTGTTCCGAAGAATCTGCTTATACAAACCTAAAAGACAGCATGAAGTAACACTGTAGGAGTGAACTATTATAGCATTTCTCATTCTGGCTCTCTCTCCTTCTGCTTTCCTGTCATCCCCTACCCACACACACAAACACACACATATTCTCACTTAGCTGTGAGAGGAACAGATGACTAAACTGTTTGGCATTGTTGCCTATGTATCACTCTGCATGAAACCTGCCTTTGTCTTTGTCAAACTCAAAAACGGCCCACATGAGAGATAGGGTTAGCACATACTTAACACCTCATGCTGGGAACTGAATTCAATAGTCATTGAATTATTGTGCATTTCTACAGTGTCTGAGAGAAAAGAGTAGACAGAACAGTAGTAGGAACAGAGGAAAATAGATGGAATGGTAGTAAGTATGCGAATTGTGTGCGAGTGTGTGAGAGCAGTGAAAGAGAAATTAACTCAGACAGACAGAGAGAGGCCATGTTCAGTTCTATGTTTCTCTCTGAGCCACAAGAATCTTTCCACTGGTGGTTAACACCGGCATGACCACAAGTCCAGTCTCAGAGCAACAACATCTTACCAGTTCCCTAAACAACAATGTTTAGACAAATGAGTACCATTTTTAAGTATCATGTTTTATGAAAGAAAGAAAGAAAGAAAAAAAAACACATTTACTGTAAAATCCCTCTCGCTGCGGCCCGGGTTCGATTCCCGGCCAGGGAACAGACCCCAGCCACTGGAGTTGTGTGCAACAGTGCTCTCTCAGTGCCGGTCTCAAGCCCGGATAAAATTGGGGAGGGTTGCGTCAAGAAGGGCATCCAGCGTAAAAACTGTGCCAAATCAAATATGCGGACCATGATCCACTCTGGCAACCCCTAACGGGAGCAGCTGAAAGAGGATCAACAACAACAACAACAACAACTGTAAAATCCCTGTGTTATTCATTACCAAGCTCCAAAAAACTTTCAATATAAAAGAGACAGAGGGTTGCTCAGGACTCACAAAAGTTTTGTATGAAACATTTGCCCGCAGTTGTCTTAAAATAAATCAGGGATTGGACCTATGAGGATATTGCTCAATCATACACTGAGAAGTACTGAGGGAAGTCTTATGAGGGAAGGAACTGAGACCCTAAAGAAAAAAGTTTCAGCCTTGTAGTTTAATTCATTCTTAGAGACGTCTAGTTTCAAACTTAGTTATCAAGCATCACTTTCATTACAGCCTGGTGTTAGAAGGGGTTGCACAACAGATAGCCGATCTACAATGCCCAGCCCAAAATTCTTTACAGTCAATGAAAATGACAAGAAGAATGATGGGAACATTTACAATATATACATATTAAATTCACTTTCCTAGTATGAATGACATTTACTCTTTTGAACAAGCTATAACCTGTTTATTATGCTTTTACATGCTAGGAGAAATGAAGCATTGGCAGTTGAACCAGTCTCTGATGTATAATTGTGGTTTTGATTCATAGCCAGTAAAGAGAATTTATGTCTCTTCTTAATGAATTTCTTCTGCAATTTATTCCAGTAGTAATAGCAAATAGATTAGCAGGTCATTAAGTACACAGGAGAATAACAATGGTCCAAGACGAGAACCCCGTGGTACTCCATAGAGAACATCAGGAGATATGTTCATATATATTATTGCAAAATGAAACAAAATCGAACCAAATTTTTGCTAAAGTTAAAAAATACAAATCAAAAAGAGTTAAAAATCAATCAAACCAATTTAGTGCAGCTCTAGATTTAGATGTACTGTGATTAATCGGGTTTCAAGTTGTAGTCCGGTCCTTGTCTCCTAAGATGAGATAATTGTTATTCACAGATTAATTCTAGGACAAGAACATGCTGCTTCTGTCAATTTATTTTATTGTGAGCAAAGTGATTAGAGGGATTTCCCTTGGATCGAAATGAAGCACTAGAAGGATTCATTATTAAGAATTATCCTCAATAAACATGAACATTTGTTAAAAATATCAGTGTAAATGAATGCACATGCAGCCTAGCATAACGTAAATAAAAAAAAATGTAAAATAATAGCATGCAGGCATAATAACACCGGGGTGGTGGGGTGCTTTACCATTCCAGAGTTGATTATTTTTCAAATAACAGCACATCCTGGACTGTTCAATCCTCTTATACCACAGAAATTTGCCAACAATTAAATTTTTTTATTCATTAAACAACAACATGTGGTATATCTTTTTATAGTGTATAGTTATGTTTAACATTGCAGAACATCTACAAAATAGCTTGGCTCCTGTTATCACTTAGCCATTATAAACAGCCGCTTTTTCTCGGTTGTGAAGTTAATAAGACCAAACAAAAAAATATATCAGCTTAGGATACATAGAAACGGAAACAAACTGCAAACTCCTCTGCTCTGAAGACTTTCCCATGTTGGAAAACTTAAGTTACCGTGGTACAATGTGCTGACATTGGAGACTCCTTCCAAAAAATGTCTCTTTACAGAAAACGCCACCATATCAACAAATACATGTTAAAGTACACAAAGTCCCTGTGTAAGTCGTTGCTATAGAAATAATAACATGAATGAGTGCATTAATGTACACGCTATATCTGTGATTTGCCTTGAGGCCCGAAACTTCTGTCTGAGCTACTATTATAGAAAATTAATCAACACCTTCTGACCATTCAGATCTGAGCCCTGTGGTATAAAGACATACGTATATGTCATTTTTTTTTATTTTTGAGCTTACCTCTTTGGGTTACTGTCTGTGTGGGTTTCCTCCAGGCTCTCCATTTTCCTCCAAACTCCCAAAAACATCCATGTAGGTGGATTGGCTACTCTAAATTGCCCCAACGTGAGAATCAGCAAGCGAATATGTGTGTGTGTGTGTGTGCATGGTGCACTGTGCTGGATGAGTGGTGTAACATGCAGGGTGTATTCCTGCATCATGCCCAGTATTCCAGGAATAGGCTCCAGATCCACCACGACCCTGACCAGGATAAAGCACTTACTGAAGATGAAATAATAAATGAATGAATGAATGAATTAATTAATTAATTAATGTTAATATTTCACATGACTTAAGAGAGCATGTTTCTGAAATGCACTTTCTATGTATGTGAAATATGCATGTGCAGCAAAAAAATGTGCATTGTAGAGTATCCTGAAAAAAAAAAAAAAAAAAATGCTAGAAACCCTTATAGACTTTGTAATGGCTTTAATAGTCCCCATGAGTCTCTAGTGGTAAATCTGTTGCTTTCAATTGGCAGCATGTTACATCTAGTGGATACATTTACAGCATTTAACAGATGTCTGTATCCAGAGTGACTTATATTTATCTCATTTATACAACTGAGCAGTTGAGGGTTAAGGGCCTTGCTCAAGGGCCCCAGCAGTGACAGTGCTCAGATTTGAACTAACAACTTTCCAGTTAGAAGCCCAACATCTTAACCACTGAGCTACCACTGCCCTGGACATGATTAAGGACCAGTAATAGTAATGGTTTTAATGATCAGCTGATGGTTTGTAATGGATTTGTAGTGGAAACCATTAGAATTTCTGGGCTTCTATTGCTTTTTTTTTTCCCATTAGGATTGAGAAACTCTAATCAGCTAGCTAGACCAGTGTGACTCCCTTCCCGTGCACTGACCAATGGCGTGATGAAGCTGCACTCAGGCTCCGCCCACACTCAGGACGCACAGCAGAGAGCTCCAGCTGCAGCACTCACACACACACACACACACACCAGCACTCAAAGTAGCACACATCCTGTTGCTTTTGTGGAGTTACATGGCGCCGTTTCTGACCTTCTGCGTTTTAATAACCGCGTTTTGCCCTACTGTAAGTATTTCACTTGACTCTCAAGACGAAAAGGGATTTTATTTCGAAAAGAACAGGAAATCAGTTCTTCTCTTTTTTGTCTGTTGATTCGGCCTGTGTGTCAGCATGTCATGCTCTTTCAAAATTTTTGATATTTAAATCTTTTTATGAAATCATAAAAATCTCTCTCTCTCTCTCTTTCTCTCTCTCACATGGCCGTTATTAGAGTTGTAATATTGAAAAACTCTTAGGCATTTTGCTTTGAGATAACCTCTTGTCTGGAATTCCCCAGTAACCAAGCAACATAAGATTTAATCTCCTGGTGTTTTTTGTTTGTTTGTTTGTTTGTTTCGTTTATGTTTTTTTTAAATTATATTTTATTTTTGCACAGAATTCCCCAGTGACCATAGCAACATAAGATTTATTCTTCTGTTTTTTTTTTTTTTTTGCATTTTATTTTTGCATGGAATTCCCCAGTAACCATAGCAACATAAGATTTATTCTTCTGGTATTTTTTTGTTTGTTTTGTTTTGTTTTTTGTTTGTTTGTTTGTTTTAATTACATTTTATTTTTGCACGGAATTCCCCAGTGCCATAGCAGCATAAGATTTACATGCCATAGCAGCATAAGATTTACTTTCCTGGGTGTTTTTTTTTGTTTGTTTGTTTGTTTGTTTGTTCGTTTGTTTTAATTACATTTTATTTTTGCATGGTTAAAACTGTTTTTGTTTGTTTGTTTGTTTGTTTGTTATTTTTGTGTTTTTATTTATTTATTTATTTATTTATTTATTTGTTTGCTTGTTTGTTTGTTTAGTATCCGGTGTTGCGCATGGTCACTGGTGAGAAGATGCACTGCTTTAAGCACTTGTTTATTGTCTTAACAAAGCAGAAGCACTAACATCCGAACCTGTGACCTGTTTCACGAAATTAAACGTATCGGCTTACCCATTACCTGTTATCAGTATGCCCACCTGTTTGCAGTGTCATACCAATAAAATATTTTACAGATGTCTTTTTGTTTTCTGCCTGTGCGTGCCCTCGTGCAGTTTATATCCTGTCTGAAGAATATCGCTTGCAGCTAACTTTCCAGTGTGATTTTATAATATATCTAATAAAACATTTTCAAACTATTTACAGCGGACAGGGCTTTATTCGTGAACTTTTCACTCGAACACAAACCAGTTACACTGTTTAAATGAAGACTAAAAACATGTTGTATCACCTTTACAGTATTTTCATTTAAATTACAGTTAGATTCAAGTTGACCATGTTTATACTTGTTTATACTTGTTTTTATGCTCTGAAGCTTTAGACTGAACCCATTCAGTTAAAGTGAATTGTCAATTAAACTAATAACTGTAATAAGTAAATAATAGCTATTAGTTAGTGGTTAGTCACGTCATTGTAACTTTAATTTAAAAGAAATGCCAGAACTCCAGGCTATGTTTCTTGAGAACCATGACTCTGAACTGTTTCTTTAACTGCTTAAGTGTGATTTCTGTTTATGGATATGATTATGAAAGTGTGATTGGATTAATGCATGAACAGGTAATCTGGGTTGAAGCTGATAAAGGAGAGCTGCGAACGCTCCATCGACAGAAAAGAGAATGGATCATCCCTCCGAAGAAGCTGTTTGAGAATGAGGATTATACCAGAGAAGAATTTCTTGCAAAAGTGAGTATTTATATGGTATTTATAAGACATTACCAGTATGGATAGTTATTACATAACGTCCTTACGCTCTTTCTTCTTATGAAGCAAACATGCTGCATCGGTGTTCTTACATTTAAAATGTTTTTAAAGGCATAATAATAAAAGTACACCGTAACCTCATAATAAATGCTACTATAAATACCTTGTGTGGCTTTGACCCTTACGTATATTTGTAACAAAGGATGAAGGTTTGAATCCGGCTGAATATCCTGTAGTTCCTCCTTTTGTGCTTACAGACTCAACGTATAGATTTTAGATTTTCAAAGTAAGATAGATAAACATAATAAAGTGAGCTGGCAATAATTTGATTGAAAGCAGAATTACACCCATTTTTTTTTAAGACTTTCTAATTGTTTAAATGTTACCAAACATTAAAAGTCTCTAAAAGCTATCTCGGAGAAAGTTGTTGCGTGAAAGTACAAGTAGGTTGAACTCTAGTTTCGCAACAAGGTTTTGCTCTAGAAAATGTGTTGCTGTACACTGTAATCATCTGGTTACTTCTGTGTTTTGTTACTATTCGTGGTTTGTTATTAATCTCAGGCTTAACTTATCACAATACGCATATTATATCATCATATTGCTCAGCCTTATGCCAAAATTATACAGTGGTAAAACTTGAAAACACACACACTGTGTTTCATTGGACAGTCAGGTCCGGAAGTATTTGGACAATGACAGAGTTTTTGTGATTTTGCCTTTACACACCACCACAATGGATTTGAAATAAAACAATCAAGATGTGATCGAAGTGTAGACTTTCAGCTTTATTTTAAGACGTTCCACAAAAGATCACATATGTTACTAAATAAAACTGTTCCCCTGTACTGTATGTCTCAGATGCTAATGGAACTGAAAATGCAGTTTGCTGGCAAGGAAGTTTTTTCCTTGAATGTCATTAATACATAATTTTAGATTATAGTGTAAGTCTCTGTTTATAGTAAGACTCTGTTTAAACACAGACGAGTTACTAAGCACATTTAATATTAGGCTACATAAGTTTGACTAATGAAAACTTTTGTTACTCTGATTTATTGTCAGATTGTCACTGTGCCTTATTAGTTTGGATCAGAATACTACACTGAAGAAAATGTACTTCCTTTATTTATGTTGGCAACAGGGTAATGTGCAATTCATCAGATTCAGTAGCTAATACTAGTAGCCTCAGCTTTTTGTTGATTTTGAGAATTATTAACAGAAGACATTGAACTTCTGAAGGGTAATTTGGAGCTAAATGAAGTCTAGATTTGTCATATATGAGCCAGATCATGAGCCCTGGTTTCTGTCACAATTGTTGAGCCTTATTGATCAAGCTGCAAACGAATGAATGTATTCTGAAATCGTTTGCAGGAGCCTTTACACAAGAAATAAGGATGAAAATCCAGTTCGTTCTGAAAAAAGTTCGTATCCTGTGAAAGCTCCTATGTGTAAATTTAAGTATAAGGAGACTCATTAATGTGAATGCCAATTAATCAGCTTCAAATCATATAATTGGTGATGAGTCACTGGAGTTTTATATATATGGCTTATGCTGTTGAGTATAATTCACTTATTTATTTCAATTGCTCAAACAAGTTTAGGTGAAAGTTTTGTGAAACTCAGTCATAAATTCTTCCCTGTAAAAGGAGGAAGATTTAGGGAGTGTCTGTGACAGCTGATGTGCCGTAGTGGCTGAACTGCATTACTGGAAGATTTAGCACGTGTTGCTTTTAGGAGCCGCTCTTTCACTGTTGAGTCGTCATTTTGTTGTTTTCAGCTCTCTGTGAGCTTTGCCTTTTATGGAGTTTTGTGGATGTTAGTAAATGTAAATCATCCCTGCAGTAAATGCACTTGGTCATTTAAGTAAATATGAAGAATAATTTGCAGTCCTGGCAGGATTTCTTTTGTTTGTTTGTTTGTTTGTTTGTTTGTTTGGCCTACAAAATAATTTAAGTGACTAAATAAGTCTCGCTGCACAAGAAATTTCTCTAAAATGGACCATTTTCTTCACAAACCACTGGATGACATGGTTAAATCTCAACAAGCAAGTTAGGCTAACATTTTGAAAAATCTGTGTAATTTCCCTTCAAGTACATATCTGTTTGTTAAAATCACTAAGCCTGCAAGTAAAAGATGTGGTACAGCCTGAGGATTTGAAAAAGTTAGTTGCTGTTGCTCATCAGATCCCAGGTGGCTGATACCAGACCATGATTGAATTGTAAGAAGATCAGAGGGTTTAAGGTTGGATTTAACACCCCCACACTGCACGATAGTCTGTGAGCATAAACATTTAAGACCAGGATGCAAAGATACAAGGTGTCCCTATGGCCACAGCAAGATATTTTAGCGTTTTACAAAGTTGTTTTGACTCTAAAGCTCACCAGATGACGTCCCTATTCTCTTTAACTCCATCCATCTGTGTTTCTACCCGAAGTTGCCTGATTCATGCTCCCAACACACTTGAGTATGGCAACTGAGTGCTGAATTACAGGCTTGATAAACTTTGGAGGTGCAATAAATCAAAACCATCTAAAAACAGTGAAAGAAATATCTGACTTATGGTTTAATCCAGTCTAAGTCTGAGTGCAAATCAGCCCTCATAATTGCATATCTAAACTTTGATGTTAGTATGCCAGCTCCACAACAAAACCAGGAATGCAAGTGTAGACTTGCTGTTATATCAGAGTTGCCCCTAAACTTGTTTTGACAACTGTAAATTTGTTTAATATAGAATAATAAACTGCTTACCATGGCAGTTGAACAGAAAAAATTATTCGACAACGCCTCATCTATTAACCTGAAAAAACCTCCAACTCCGTACACTCCATCTCCTCTTTTCCCTGGTAAAGGAGAAAGTTTCATATACTTCAATGATAAATTACACTTGCCTGTCAATAATGTTCAATAATAATATGATTTCCAAATCTCCGTTTCTTACATGGATAGAGCAACATATTTTGCA